GTCCTGATGAGTTCAACACATGAAGTGGCAACAGAATTTGAACTCACAACTTCGCACTTCCCTTAAGACATTGAACTTTTGGGGCTGGAACAATAGGACAGTGGGTAGGTCACCTGACTTACAAGTAATCCCTGAGTGTAAAGCCAGGAGTAAGCCCTGAGCATTTCCAGGTGTGGCCCCAAAACAAAACAAACGAGAGAGAGAGAGAAAGAGAGAGAGAGAGAGAGAGAGAGAGAGAGAGACAAAGACATTGAGCTTTTTTCGGTCCCCAACATCTTGTATGATACATTTTTAAATGTATTATATATCTTATATAATCTTATATAACATCATATACTATGATATATTTGTTACGAATAAGGAACTAATATTGCTACTTTACCATTAACTAAGGCCTGGAGCGATAGCACAGCAGGTAAGGTGTTTGCCTTGCATGCAGCCGACATGGCCGACCTGGGTTCAATACCTCCGCCCCTCTTGGAGAGCCCGGCAAGCTAACGAGAGTATCTCGCCCGCACGGCAAAGCCTGGCAAGCTACCCCAGTTGTATTCAATATGCCAAACAGTAACAACAAGTCTCACAATTTGTTGTGAGATGTTACTAGTGACCGCTCGAGCAAATCGATGAACAATGGGACAGTGTTACAGTGCTACAGCCCTACCATTAACTAAACTTCACACTTTGAGATTTCATTCATTGTCCCGTAGTGTCCTTTTTCTGTTCCAAAATTCTATTCAGAAAATCACATTATATCATATCTCTTAAAATTCCTTAGCTCTGTTTTATGTCCTTTTGTCACTTTGGTGTGGTCCCAAAACACAAATTTCTATTATTTGAACAATTCTTTTAATAATTAGATAATCTGTGACATTCTTATACCTTTTTTTGGTACTTGTACTTGTATTGTCTTCATTCTGGATTCTGCCATTTCTCTAAGGTTCCTTTTTATGAGAAAGGAACCATGGCTGGCTACTAGTTACTCTCCTTAATACTGGGATGTCATTCAGACCCTTTCTGCTGTCTGTATTTGAAGTTAAGAAAAATACCTTCTGAAGACAACTACATATAGTGACCTCAGTTGATCAAAAAATAAAGAGTGGAAGAAAGAAGAAAGAAGAGGGATGAGGGAAAAAAGAAAGAATGGAGGAAGAAATAAGCCTTTGTCAGGTGTTGGGAGGATCCTCCTAGGAAGGGAGATGCATGCTGAAAGTAGACTATAGACCGAACATGATTGCCACTCAATGCCTCTTTTGCAAACCACAGCACCCGAAAGGAGAGAGAGAACAAAAGGGAATGCCCTGCCACAGAGGTAGGGTGGGGTGGGGGGGATGGAGGGTGTGAGGGATACTGTGATCAGTGGTGGTGGAGAATGGGTACTGGTGGACGGATGGGTACTCAATCATTGTATAACTGAAACCCAAGCACAAAAATTTGTAAGTCTACAACTGTACCTCATGGTGTTTGACTAATAAAAATTTTAAAAAAGCCAATGTAACTAAAAAAATAAGCCTTTGTATAGGCTTTGTACAGACTGAAAGAGGCTACACATTTAAAAAAATTCGAACAGCAATTAGAGTGGAAGGCTAAAAAATATCTTTGAAAGGTGTTGGGGAACAGTTTTCCCCCCAACGGTGCCCAGACACGTTGCACACTGGACCCGGATAGATGTGGGGCAAAGGATTATGGACACACGGAGAAACACCCTCTGGGAACAGCTGATGGCTGTTCACCTTATTGCCAAATACACACATATTTTATAGAGGCTTACAAGAAAGTTCAATCACATGAAGTTCAGCATTATTGGCCTATCACCACTCCTTCTCTGCTATACCCCGGTCCAATCCCAGTCAATGATAGATGCTGCAGTTAGGATGACTTACTAAGTGTAAGTAACAGTTTCTGTGTCTAGGGCTCATGTGATTAGGAGGTCAAGTGAGGCTCAAGGCCGAACACCCAGTGCTGACACCCTGTTCTTGTCAACTGTGCCCAGATTTTCCCTCTTGTGAGGCTTTGCTTCTGAGCCACTTTGCAAGGTCAGGTCTTATCTGCACCAGTGTCTGTCATCCTGCTCCACAAAAGGGCTATGAAAATGTGTTAAAGTGAAATAGGAAGATTATTAACCACGAAAAAATGCTATAGGAATTAGAGAAAAAATATTAAAAACTCAAAGAAGAATGTATTAATAGGCAGAGGATGGTCTTTTGGGGGTGGAGGGTGGTGTTGAGTTCGAGGACACTCAGAAAACGTTGGCAGAAAGTAGACATTCTGGTTGAATGAATGGTGTTAAAATATTTTTTAAATGAAACCCTACTGTTACTAATACTATAATTATGGTGCCTTGAGAAAAAAAAAGTATTTTCCAACACATTTTTTGTTGGAGAATGCAAATTTCAAGGTCTTATTTAAAAAGCTTTGGTTTGGGTCACATCTGGTGGTGCCCAGGGATTACTTCTGAATGTGTTCAGGGATCACTTCCAGAGGTGTTGGGTGTGAGAATGTGGTGAGGGGTGTGTGGGGGGGGAGGGAGTTGGAGGAACGAAATCCTAGGTTGACTGCCGGCAGATCAGCGAGTTACCATTTTGTGCTCTCTGATGCCAAATTTCAAGATTTTATAAAATGCTACAGTGACCATATACAAAGATTTAAAAGAAACAGGAAAATATTCTCTTGGATAAAGGGAAATAGTTCTAGAAGAAAGGATGATGATGCAAGAAGAAATGTTGAGCAAAGAAAAGGACAAATTTAAATACTTATTAAAATGATTCATAGATTTATTTATTTAGTTTCTTGAGCCACATCTGGTGATGTGCAGTGGTTACTCCTGGCTCTGCACGCAGGAATTACTCCTGGTGGTGGTCGGGGAACATATGGGATGCCAGGAGGCATAATACCACTGTACCATCTCTCTAGTCCCTGATTTGTGGATTTAAATGCTTGATAACATTTTGCTTTAGTAACTTCAAGTTAAAAGGCAGTTAAGTTTCTTCAAATGGCAGGAAAAGAGAAGAACTCTGGAGCTAGAATCTCAGAATTATGTCAGCTCTGCCATTTACTAGCAGGGTAGCCTACACTGTAGCACTGTCCTCCCGTTGTTCATCGATTTGCTCAAGCAGGCACCAGTAACGTCTCACAACAAATTATGAGTCTTGCTGTTACTGTTTTTGGCATATCAAATAAGTCACGGGGAGCTTGCTAGGCTTCGCTGGGTGGGCAAGATGCTCTTGGCAGCTTACTGGGTTCTCTGAAAAGTTTAGAAGTATCAAACCCAGGTTTGTCGTGTGCAAGGCAAACGCCTTACCTGCTGTGCTATCGCTCCAGCCTAGCAGGGTAACCTTGAGCAATTAACTTACCAGTGTTGAACCCTCCAGTATACCCTGGACAACAGAAATAATGCTAGGATTGATGTATTAAACTGATCTATTAAATGTAAAGTCACCTAGAGTTATGTCTAAATAAAAGCTAAGTTGAATCATAACCTCAAACTTCAAAAAACAGTGTAAGAGGGAAAATATAGAGAAAAACATATCCAAAAGAAATCAGGAAGGGATAGAAAATATAGAAATGCAGCAAATAGTACAACACGAGAGCCAAACAAAATATAGCAGTAATAGAGTGCAATATAAAATAATGCAACAACATGTGTGGGCCACGATCATCAGTTTAACAAGTTTTGGGGTCCAGAACCACAGTCCAACAGGTAGGTATCACAAGGCCAACCCTGAGCGCCACTGGCTGTGACTCAAGAAGAAAAACAAAAAGACGAAGTTTGACTGAATTTTTAAAGAACATGGTAGTAGGATGTTTGTCAGAGACATCACAAACGTGATGAGAAAATAAAACGTGTGAGCAAGTGGTCAGAAGCTTCGAATGGCCTTCTGCGCCACTTCCCTTTCCGGCCTGGCTGCTGCAGTCCACTCCGACATCTCCAGCTTGTACAGTCAATGCCCTTCCCGCGACCTCTCCAGATCGAGCAGTCAGCCCCCTTCCCGGGACCTCTCCAACGTGCGCAGTCGGCCCCCTTCCCGGGACCTCTCCAACGTGCGCAGTCGGCCCCCTTCCGGGTACCTCCTGCAGGATGCTCAGAGGGAGCGCCCCGGCGACGTCACCCGCACGCCCTCCGCCGAGGCCACGTGGCGCCCGGGGCGGGGTGGGCACGGGCGCCTCGCTCATTGGCTGTCGGGCCGCCTTGCGATTGGCGGGGAGCGCGCGCGTCACGCCAGCTATAAAAGAAGGCTTGTGACGCAGGCGCGCGCGCATTGGCTCCCGGCGTCGCGCATCCCGCCGCGCTGCTCCGCGACCGGCAGCCCCATCCCTGCTCGCAGCGTCTCCCCAGCCAGCTCGTCGCCGCCGCGGGACCGGCTGTATGATTAGGCCACCGCCTTTCATGAGTGGACGCAGCCCTTCCCGTGGTGTTCTCGGCCGCGCCTTTATGGAGTTTCTGAAGGGCCCGGGCGACTACTGCCAGGCCCAGCACGACCGTGACGCGGACGAGTGAGCGGGGTCGCCCGCCGACACGGAGCCCCGGGAGCTGTCCCGTATGCGCGAGTGCTGACTGAGCCCCCGAGAGCGTGGCCCTGCATGGGGTAGCCCCTGCGCCGCGCCCACGGCAGCCCGCCTCCGCCTCGTCCCCTCCGCCTGGGCACGGCTAGTGCGCCGGGGACTCTCACCGCTCCCCGGACTGCGCCCCGGCGAGTCCGGCTCTGCGCCCCGGCGGGCCTGCACTGCGCTCCGTCGCGCCCGGCTCCGCGCCCCGTCTGGCCCGGCTCTACGCCCCGGCGGGCCCGCACTGCGCCCCGGCGGGCCCGGACTGCGCCCCATCGGGCAAGGCCAGCGCGCCGGGGACCCGGACTGCGCCCCGTCGGACCCGGCTCTGCGCCCCGTCTGGCCCGGACTGCGCCCCTTGGGGCCCGGTTCTGCGTCCCGGCGCGCCCGGCTCTGCGGCCCGTCGGCGTGTCTGCACCCGTAGACCGAGGGAGCACCTGCAGCCCCGGGGGCCCGGCATGGCCCCGATGAGCCGCCCCGCGCCCGTGGAGGTGGCTTACAGGAACATGCGCTTCCTCATCACGCACAGCCCCACCAGCGGCACCCTGCACCGGTTCATCGCCGAGCTGAAGACGCACGGCGTCACCACCATCGTGCGAGTCTGCGAGGCCACGTACGACACCGCGCTGGTGGAGAAGGAGGGTATTCAGGTCCTGGACTGGCCGTTCGACGATGGGTCGTCGCCGTCCACGCAGATCGTGGACGACTGGCTGCGTCTTGTGAACGCGAAGTTCCGCGAAGAGCCGGGCTGCTGCATTGCCGTGCACTGCACCGCAGGGCTGGGGAGAACGCCTGTGCTGGTTGCCCTGGCACTGATTGAAGGTGGGATGAAAAATGAAGATGCGGTGCAGTTAATACGACAAAAGCGGCGTGGGGCATTCAACAGCAAGCAACTCCTGTATTTGGAGAAGTACCGTTCCAAAATGCGGCTGCGCTTCAAGCACTCCAATGGCCATAAGAATAACTGCTGTGTTCAATAAAACTAGGCTAATGGTATTGCCTTGGAAGTGGAACTTGAGGCAGAAATTACTTCTTTCTCGTACGCCACATGTAGTCTTAATGAATAACAAGTCTAATGAAGCCTTTAGAAAATACTGATAAGCTTCAAGTTTGTATCTTCTGTGTTTGGCGTACTAGTGCCCATACCAGAAACAGTATTGAGAAATGGAGAGCTTAGGCGCCACATACCCAGCCCCATGCTTATATATTTTTAGTGCTATAAAGAATTAAAATCTTAGGAATTATGAACAGCATTGTAAGCCATATTTGCTTTATTCCTTCAGCCATTGTTTGTTCGCTTCCCCATGTCTACTACGATTACCAGGTTTTTGCAACAATTTTTTTTGGAGGGGGGGATCTTTATCAGTGTGCTCATTTCCTATCTTTAGTTATCATTTCATGCTGTTAGAAAAACCTCATCTTGATAGCTCACAGATATCCCAAAGTTCATTTAAAACACATTATAAGATGCATCTCAGGGTAAGTAGCCAACCAAAAAAGTCTTTTAATTAATGTTTTTTACTTGGCTTAATTTTTCTTTTCTTTTGGGTCATACCTGGTGACACCATGTTCAGGAGTTATTCTTGGCTCTTGTTCAGGAATTGCTCCTGGTGGTGCTGGGGAATCATATGGGATACCCGGGTTGGAACGTGGGTCCACTGTGTGCAAGGCAAATGCCCTCCTGGCTATACAGTCACACCCACACTTAGTTTACATTTTAAAGGGAAGGACTGAGACTGGGGGAAGAAGAGACTATGAAATAAGACAAAATGTTGCCTATGTCTTTTGCAGGGGATAATGAATTCGCCCTTGTATTTAGAAAACTTTATTTTAGAGGGAGAGATGCTTTGTAGTTTAAACAATTCTTAATATATTTGAAGTGCTGTAATTCTTCCACATTCCAATTGGAATTTATTCAATTTATGTTCCATTTTTTGAGATGTGATTAAATATCTAATATGATTTTGAATCGTGTAGTTTAACATTTGGATATTCCATATTTGTTTTATTATAATTGAGAATATAATTGGGATAATGAAATTGGAATTGTAATTGAATATAAATTTAAGTTTAATCACATATTTCCTGGGAATATAGTTCTATGGGAGAAGTAACTTGTCAGTGTTCATCATTCAAAGGTAGTTCTAGAACTTAAATGTCTCTAATGAATTTCAGAAGAAAGAAAAACTCTAAGCATGAGGTGTAATTTAGTAGAGGTTGAGATGATGAAAATTATTAGTTTCAGTTCACTAGGAAGTTGTAACAATTCCAAACTTTGTGAAATAGCATAGATCCCAAAATATTGAAGAAAATATGGGGAGAAGTACAAGGAAAATTCACAAGTTCACTGCAGTGGTAGGAAGTTTTACTGTCCCTTTAGAAGTAAATCAAACAAAAAATCAGAATGAATATAAATTTGAAGAAGACAAAGCCTCCATCTCATGAGCCTGTAAGGGACATTGCACCCAACAGTGGGGAAAGAATACACAAAATGTTAAATTTGACTAAATAATTCAGTCATAAACAATTTAAGCAAACTTAGAGTATTTTAATACAAATGATTTCTGATTAAAATTGAATTAAGAACAACGCTAATGTCCACTCATAAGACAGATTTTAAATTTTTAAAATCTGTCTAGAGACTTCCACCTCTATAAAGTATACAGAAGGTTATGTCAGCCCAAACCTTCCCTGAAATAAGCAGAAAAATAAGATGTATGTGACAGTAAAGTATGTGACAAAAGTCAGATGTGAGAGCAGCAAAGACTAGGTGAATAAGAATTTCCAGAGATGGAGGGGCTCTTCTGAATGCATTTTGTTTGCAGGGAACTTTTGCTGATTCTGCACATGGACCAAGGATCAGTCTTGGTCCACATGCAGGGTCTTTACTGAGGGAAAGAAACTCCGCAAGAGTTTTTTTGGTGGTTTTTATGGGGCTAATGCAACGCATTAGAAAATTGGGGCGGTTGGTCAGTTTTTCTTCACATTTTGCACATTCAGTTCCTTGGCAAACACTGACTCTCATGTTTGCATTTGCAGTTTTATTGGGGCGTTGGAGCTTTGTTGAGGATTATTGGGCAACAGCACCGTGATGGAGCAAGAAAACCAGGACAGAGCAGAAAGGGATGCATAGAGTAGCAACATTCACTTGGCCTGTTTTTCAGGTGAGCTCTGAAGCTGGAGACCATTTAGAGATGACTCCTATGGAGGCAAGGGGATCAGCTTGTAATGTGGGTAATGTAATTTGAATGAAGAATCTTCCTTCAGTCTAATACCAAGGGAAGCATGTGGCTCTGAGATTTGAGCTGACAAGGTTCCTGACAGCCATGGGAATGTGTTTCAATGTGGAGAGGGTTCTGGGCAGGGTGGCTGCAGCAGTCACAACACTGAATGACACCACCCGTTCCATTCTGGGACTATGACTGAGAGACTGGTCTGTTGGAAGGACTTTCAAAAGACAAAATATTTTGTCTAGGAGGAAAAAAGAGGTTTAATATCTGATGAGGTTCTAATTCTCAACCTGTTTTTTTTTTCTATCCATTCTGCTGAGTGTGAGGGGTTATCCCACAGTGGTTTTAATTTTAAATTTCTTTTTTGTTTTGGTGTTTTGGGCCACACCGACGGTGTTCAGGGATTACTCCTGGCTGTGCACTTAGGTGTCTCTCCTGATGGTCCTCAGGATATGGAATGCCAGGAATCAAACCTAGGTGTGCTATGTGGATCATGTGGTACTCATGCTACCAACTTCAAAGCATGTGGCCTCCCAGCACTTTCAGGAGAGATCCCCAAGAATCAAGCTGATAGAGACTGCAGAACACAGTCAGGCATGGCAATAAAACAAAACCAAAAATTTTACAAATCTTATCAACATCAGTCTATGTCTGAAATTTTGAAAGTTTCCAAATTTTAATTGTAAATATCAATTTAAATTATTGTCATATAATTTTCCCTTTGGGGGAGGCTAGGATGGAAGGTTTGGACCATACCCCAACAGTGCCCAAGGGCTATTCCTGACTCTGTACATGAGTTACCCTTAGCAGTGCTCAGGGGATCATACATATGCAAGGAATTGAACTGCATGCAATGCAAGCACATAACCTCCTATACTATCCCTTTGCCCATTTCCCCCCCTATTTTCGATGAATTAAAATTTATTTCTAAATTAAATAGTATTTATACATCTAGAAACAAGATGCTTCCAACTCCCCAATTAATAAAGTAAGTTTTTACATCTCTCTTATTACTGAACAACAACAACAACAACAACAACAAAAACCTAGGCGTGCTACATACAAGGTAAAGACCCTACCAGCTGTACAACCACTTCTGCCCCATTGGTTTTAATTTTCATATGACTAACAATGTTAAGCATTTTTTATATGTGCTTGATAGTCACTGTCACTGTCCTCCCGTTCATTGACTTGCTCGAGCGGGCCCAGTAACATCTCCACTGTGAAACTTTGTTGTTACTGTGTTTGGCATATCGAGTTCGTCACGGGGAGCTTGCCAGGCTTTGCCGTGTGGGCGAGATACTCTCGGTAGCTGCTGGGCTCTCCGAGAGGGGCGGAAGACTCGAACTCCGGTCAGCCATGTTGGCTGCGTGCAAGGCAAATGCCCTACGCGCTGTGCTATTGCTCCAGCCCGCTTGATAGTAATTAACATAATTTAGTTTTGGATGGGGGGGAGGCATGAACCACACCCTGTGATGCTAAGGGGCTATTCCTGGCTCTATGCTCAGGAGTGACTCTTGGTTGTGTTAGGGGATTGTATATGGTGCTTGGAATTCAAACCAGGGTCACAGCCATTTGAGGAACATGGAGGGCAAAGTACTTTACCTCCCTCCCATACTGTGACTCTCAGTGTAACTTTGTTTGGGGCCACACTTGGCAGTGCTCAGGATTTACTCCTTGCTTTGCTCAAGGATCACTTCTATCTGTGCTCAGGGGACCATATGGGGTGTTGGGGATCGAACGAACCTCAGTTGATGCTTGCAAGGCAAGTGCCTTACTTTTAGGCCTCTTCAGCCTCTTGTTTCCCCCTTCCCCTCTTAATAATTATAGTTTTGGGATCAGAATGAGAGGTTTGTTTTTTGTATACTTTGTTACCTTGCTAAGATTCTATTTTTGGGTAAGGAAAGATCAGGGAGAAGTGGGCCACAGCCACTGGTGTTTGATCTGTGCTGGAGATCACTTACTTGTGGGAGACCTAAAAGTGCTAGGGATTGGCACTTTGATCTCACTCAAGTTCCTTGCAATTATCTTTATTTTTATTTTTATTTATTTTATGTAGGAGCACTGCTATTTATTCAGCCACTGATTAGCTGATTGAATTGGGCATGAATTCCACCTTACTTTTTTTTTCATTTTTTTATAATTTTATTTATTGAATCACCGTGAGAGCAGTTACAAAGCTTTCGGGTCTAAGTCTCGGTCATACAATGAAACACCCGTTCCTTCACCAGTGCCCATTCTCCACCCTAACAACTCCAGTATAACCCCATCCCACACCCTCCCCTACCTGTGGGGCAGATGATTTCCACATTACTCTCTCTCTACTTTGATCCCATTCAATATTTTGACACCAGACCCACCATTATTATTTGATATTTTATCCTGACACTCAGATCTGCTGAAAAGGCAACTGTAGACAATTTGTTTTCTATTGCTGATTATGACTAACATATGATGTCGCATGACTGCAGTAGTGGCTGTGCGATTTTGAAATTCCAGCTATAGCACTCCTGGGAATATATCTCAGAGAGGCAAAAAGGTATAGTCGAAGTGACATCTGCAATTGTTTGTTCATTGCAGCACTCTTTACAATAGCCAGAATCTGGAAAAAACCTGAGTGCCCGAGAACAGATGACTGGTTAAAGAAACTTTGGTACATTTACACAATGGAGTACTGTGTAGCTGTTAGAAAAGATGAAGTTATGAAATTTACATACAAGTGGTACTACGTGGAAAGTATCATGTTAAGC